CGACATAACACAACCTACCAAACGAGTGGTATACAGAGGCATCCACTCAATTGGCCACCACTATCCGAAAGTTGACCGATTGACTTCCCAGGTCCAACAAATAGAGAATTTTCACACTTGACTTGTAATGGAATCTTACGCAGTCATCATACCTATATGGTATACTGGAACAATAGCTAGTTGGGCGCAGCTGGTTGCTGTAGGTCGTTGCTCCAGCTCTAAGCGCCCCTCATGGTTACTCCCACAACACTACTTTTTTCAACCGCTCATACCAAGATCTTTCCAATCTTGAACCACGGACCGTGGTTCATGGTGGTCCAACCACCACTTTAATTCATATTTATCCCGAAGCCTACAACAAGCTCAGAACGCACTACCTCAGTGAAACTCCTTCCATGAGCTTAGCCGTAAAGCATTTCCCTGGTAGTTTCATCATTCTAGAGGCGTAATATACACACAAAAACACATAACCCTAAAACCACGCTGGCATCCAAGCCCTGGTCCGAGAACATCGAGCGTTAGAGCACCCAAGGCCGACGTAATCTAAGCATGGAGTGGTACCAAGGTATAATCAGCACCAGAATACCAACGAAAATGTATAGAGTTTGATCTGATGCGGCATTGCCCTCTCGGGAATTCAAGGTACCTTGGTGATGAGACATCCTAACGGTAGTATCCTAGTAAAACAACACAGCGCTGAAAGAGGTACGTAGAGGCTTATTCATCAAGAATTCGGTCTCTCCCTCAATCAGAAGGTTGCGCTGTCTGACCAACCAATAGCTGTCGCGCCATTCTTCGCTTTCAGGAACACCGACACAAATCATCCCCTCAATATAACATCCTTTCGAACCGCTCGCATACAACCATCCGTGATACACACGACTTATGCGTACATCTCCCCGATCCAAAGCACGCAGTTTTCAAGTTAAGGCCTCTCACCGTGGTCGGTTCCCGACTACTATCAGCCACAACCTGCAAAGCTGCCTTCCACTAGATTCGAACCTGAATCAATCGGTGGAGCCGAGGTATCGTGTTCAATAGGGGAAAATTGAGGAACTGCGTTGGCAACATCTCAGCTACTCGCGCATTCACCATACTCAACTCAACGATGAGCAGTACTACATGAGACGGAACTATCATTATGGCACAACCGCCGAAAAAGAAAACAAAGAATCCTTCAACATCAGTATTCTATCACCATGGTAGGAAATCACCCATAGAAGTAACAAAAGAAGAACTACAGCGTCTCAGACGATGCGAGCTATACAAAATCGTCACTAGAGGACCCAGCTGGCTAATGCCTAAGGCATTACATCATCGCTAAGGCAAGTCCAATAGCCACAGAGAAGAATGAACCGCATAGAGACCTAGCAGAGGAAGACGAGGTGGGTGGAGAAGTGGTAACTCCACTGGGTGAACTGGTATTTAGAGACATAAGAACTGCATTCTGAGCATCCAGCTCACCAAAGTTCATAGTAGTGCCATTGGCCACGAGCTTTTGCGACTGACTGCCAAGGACAGTATTCGTCAAATCTTGACCCTTCAAGCCCAATGTCGCGAGCATAGCTGTAACACCAGCTACATGAGGGGTGGCCATGGAAGTGCCATCCAGAACAGCATATCTGTCGCCTGGCCAAGTCGAAACAATATTCTCTCCAGGCGCAGCAATATTAACTGCAGAGCCCGTATCCGAGAAGAAGGATACCTTAGGCGGAGCAATGGACGAGGTAGAGCCCACACACATCATAGAGGGTACTTGAGTGGTGAAGGAGCAGGGAAACCTGGGATCCTCATCAACATTGACACCGTCATTACCAGATGCTACCACAACGATATGTCCGACTTTGGCAGCGTTCTGGATAGCCTGCAAGAAAACTCTGCTAGACCCATCAGCAGTGTATGAATGAGATGATACTGTAGCCCCATGAGCAACTGCCCAGTTAAGGCCGTTGAGAGTGGCTAACATACCGCCAGTACCATCAGCGCCGAAAGCACGCAAGGCCATGATCTTAACGTCAGCGATGCCTGCAATGCCAACATCATTATCAGTCTGAGCTGCCGCAATACCGGCACAATGAGTACCGTGACCATTCAGGTCAGAAGTATTCTCGTCGTTATCCACGAAGTTGTAGCCGTGGGAGCCATCAGACGCTGTCCACATCTGGTCCTTGAGGTCAGGATGCGAACTATCCACGCCGGTATCAACGATGGCGAGGATGATCTCTTGAGGAGTCTTACCAGAATTGTCAACGTTCCTCCAGGCACCATCGATGTTTATCAGCTGCAGATTGTCCTGATATCGAGCCAACGGGTCGTCCGAATCCACATCGGACTTGGGACTGTTGCCGAACCAACCTGCCACTTGTTCAGTTGCATCGGCAATTCTTGCCTCATTTACACCATCAACGATCCTCATCTCAATATTGGGTTCGCATAAGACGTCCAAACCAAGCTCGTCACCAGCTTCCTCGAGGTAGGCCTTCACTTCATCTAAGCTGACCGGACAGTCCTCGGACAGAGTGTCGACACTCTGAACACCAATCATAGCCAATGTCTCAACGGCGTGTGGGTTCTGCAGGCAACGTTCAACAGCAGCCAATCGGCTGTCACTGAGCCGACGCAAATTGCCCACATTGTTAGCAAGCATGTGAGGGATTGCACTGACGTCAACAGCATCATGCACAATCGATTCTCTGGTTGACGATATTGAGACTATACCACTGGGAGGAGATCGGCGAGTGACCGAGACGAGCGTCTTATTGTCTTTGACGTTAACCGCCTTTCCAAGACCAAGAAGGAATAAGGGGAAAAGTAACAGAAACATGTTAACGGAACTAACTGAGGTAACAGGTTGTTCATGTTAGTCTCCGCATTAGATGAGAACACGACGGGACAGCGCTACACCTTTCAGGGGCCTATTTCGCTCTCAGTGAAAACAAATCCGTCGGGTGGGGCACCTATGCCATAACCCCAAGAAACGTCTAATTACAACGAGTTCTATCGGACGGGACACCTATGCCACAACCTCAAGATGTGCATCAGTTCAATCAATTTCATCCCTCGGGACACCTATGCCACAGCTCCAACTACAAGCGATTCCATCAGCCGGAGCGCCTATGCTGTAATTCCAAGATATGCCTTAGTACGATCCATTTGGTGGGAGCAAGTGATAGAAAGATTAATTGTGTTTGCATGACCCAACTAACTTCAACTTCCACCAATCGTGGATGTCAGTTTCGCTGCAAAACCGATTTCGCCTGAAGTGGACGGTTTCGGACGCAATGGTGGAGCATCCCATCATGACGTTAGTGGCACTCGTGAAATAATGGGCCTGTTACACAAGGATACTTAATTCAAGGCGCCTTAAATTTAGGAGCAACTCAAGGAGTTACTTAAGGGGCCTGTTTCATAGGAGCAGATTGCGCCTTAAACTTAAGTAACGCCTTAAGTATACCTTAAGTAATTAGGACATCCTATTTCACTACTTAAGTAAGCACGTTAAGGCGCCTTAAGTTTAGGAATACTTAAGGCGCCTTAAGTTTCTGTGCATATACTTAAGCATTCACGAGAAGCATTTCACAACATGCGTACTTAAGGAGCAACTTAAGTATTCCTTAAATTTTATTAAGGTAGAGCCGACCCTACCTAAATAGATACTTAAGTACCGTGTTCGAATATTGCAGCCCACAGGGATTGAACCAGGGACCCTTCGAAGTACGATGCTTTGATATTGCATCTCGCAGGGGTCGAACCGGAGACCTTACGAATGGCAGCACGGTGCTCTCCCACTTGTCCAGAGAGGCAAAGAAATCGAGCTAAGAGTTCATTTCCTTCACGCAGCAAAAGCCGAATCGAACTTCACAATATGGTCACCTTTAAGAATCAGCCACTGCAAAACGTCGAGGAGGCAATGTTTGCTGCTTGTGAACAGGAGATGAGGATCTGGGTCAATCACAGTCATCTCGAATAACTCTGATTGACCCAGATGCTCCAGTGGATGGTGTCGGGAACGCTCTTCGCAAGAGCTACGTTCGCAGATAGTTGCAGCGACTTGGAGATATTTCAGTGATTTGCGTCACCTTGAGTTCACATGAGTATATTTTCTACTTAGCGGACCGTTGAGTGACTTATTCTAGCTAACATTGTAATTCGTGGGAAATCTCCTTGCAAATCGTTACCAATGGTAACTTACCATTGATACCTTACCCATGATCGAGGAAAGTAGTTGCGAAACAGTAAACGACCATAGAAACAGCATACCTCAGATTTGAACCTGCGCCGATCGTGTGGTAAACAGACAACCTAACCACTGTAGCATTTACACAAACGTGTAATTCTATTCTATACCTGTAACCATGGTTAAGTAGATACTTAAGTACGCCTTAAGTTAAGGAGCTCCTTAAGTTGCTCCTAAACGTTGTGAAATGAGTTGAGTACTTCTTAAGTATACCTTAAGTAACTCCTTAAGTTGCTCCCATATTTAAGGCGCCTTAAATTAAGTATCCTTGTGAAACAGGCCCAAGGTATACTTAAGGCGTTACTTACGTTTAAGGCGCAATTTGCTCCTACGAAACAGGCCCAATGGCGTGAAGTGCGCGATGGGGACAGAAGAAATACCGTCACTGGGGATCGAATTTGCGACCTTCGGATGAAGCATTACTCTCAACTTTCTCCTTCTGCGTACTGGGTACAGCGTTCGATTCATATGAATGTGCTATAATATAGCTTCACCCGGACACCATGGACACTCTATCCACTGCACAGCCTGAGAATATCCCTCCAAACTATGAAGATCTCCCTCTATTCACACCTCACTCTGCCAAGGCTTCTTGGCTCGCCTACGGCGACTGTGTCCTTTTCATGCTAATAGTAGCCGTTATCGCGGGGCAGTTGATACAACAGAAACGAGCCGAAAGACGTGGAGGAGATGCTGTAATAATGGAGTCGACATGTGGCCACCTCGAATATCTTGGAATCGTACCTTTTGTCTCAGGCCCCGGCAGTGTCGCTCACTGGTAGCCACACGCGCAAGCTCTTCCTTATCGGTTTATGCCTATCAAATCTAGCCAGAGCAGTGAGCATGATCGTCGATGCTGTCGTTCATAATGAGGTTAGAGAGCATGTATGGGAGCATTCTGTCCAGGTTGGGCCCTATCGTAAGCAATACTGTCATCAAACATCATTCATATCAGGGCTGGACCAACTACTGCTTCATGGACTTCCCTTCTCTGCTCTTCCTCTCAACCTACAGCATCGTTATACTATTCTGGGCTCAAGTAACATCAGTAACCGCAGCTCCTATTATTGTCTTCCCAGGTGTACTATGCAGCCATCTTAGTATCATATCCCTTGTTACGGCCACTCTGCATTTTTTTCAACATTGCAGTGTACTATTCATCGCCTCCAAAGGCTCAATCACTCTTCCTTTCCCCTGCAGATATGGTGTTTTTGTGATTATATCGGCAGTCACTTTCCTTCTCGAAGCGTGGCATCAATATAGTCAGTAAGTTCTAGTAAGTCTAAAAAATCGCCGATTACACTCGTTCACTGGTAGGTACATATTTTTTATAGTGGGTCTGCTTTACCTTCTCTGCGCTATATTATTCTTCTATTACGGGGTGAAAGTCAAGTCCTTGTGTCTTCCATAGAGCCAATCCCTCTCAGATACAGGTAGCGGTGCAGTTGAAAGACCGATCTCGAAGACAGCGCTCAATGGCCGGAGTGTCGCCGACTGAGGCCAGCAATAATCATGCGGTTCTCAGTCGAGTAATAAGCTCTCAATGTTCATCACAACACAGACTCTATCAGGTTCTTATTCTGACAGTGACGTGCCCGCTCATATTTCTCATAAGAGGTATGTTATGTCTACTCTACGGAGTCGGGGTCATGAAGACGTACGGTCCTTCGAACGTTGATCGCCTGGCTTGGGACTCTCTGGTGAGAACTTCTAGTTATCTTTATTCCCTACTGGCGCTTCTAGGTCTACTGTATCACGGAATGGATACCTTCGCTGCTCATTCTTATAGTCTTCTGGCCTGCCACTCGACCTTCTGGTCGAGCTGGAGTCCATGGTGGTGGCTATCAAGTAAGCTAGCTCAGTGTGGCCTTGAGTGTAGGGCAATGATGTCGGTCAACTCAGTCGGATTATGGTAACCTATCCTCGAGCTATGATTCTCTAGTGTCGCCTCTTATCGGATCACACACGGGGTCGAACCAGGATATAGAGGCCAACAGGAAGCAGATTAGGATAGAGCAGGAACAAACGAGGTGTAGTTGGAGAGGGATTCTAGAATGGACGGGAGTACTAGCACTTCTTTGAAGATGAAGTCATAGAATGCCTCTCGCTCTAAGGAAATTAGCCAGAGTACAATCATACTGATATGTGCCGAATCAACGCTCTGATTTGGTTTTTCACTGTATCCCTATTCAATCGTCTATTGGACCTGCCACTTGATCGCGTGTGCCTTTGTATTCAATCGCCTATGCCACGACGTCACTGGTGTCTTCTCTGGAATGGCCCATGCTGTAGATAATAATGCCTTGATCAAAGTCGTACCTAAATTACCTCATGCCAATCCCGTGGGCCCTAACAAACCTGCCATCGATTTACCACCTGGAGGCTCAGAGCAGGTAACACTGCAGTCACATGCAATCTGTTAGGTCACATCTCATATCAGGCTAACATTTCGAATGGCCGGAAAGGACGGTCTTGGAGTCATCAGTTACGCGATGTCTGGACAGGTGATAAGGAACAACCTGGGGCTTGGAAAGGGAAGAAATAACATTTCTGTGGTCAGTTGTTGTGATTGTGTTGTATGGGGGATAAACAATTGATCGGCGACGAACTTGTTGCCGTAGTCGTAGCTTACGTGCAAGGGTGCTCCCATACTCGAACCTATTTCATCTCCCCACCCACCTGTTGTTTTCGTTGATATTATGCTTAGTATCGTGCATATATTAACATCGACAGCTTTCAATTAGACCAATGCTCAGGGAGAGATGTGCCCCGTGGGAGCTCACCATCAATAATAATCGCAGGATTAAATCAATAATCCTGCGGAATTGATGTTACTGAGGCATGTCTTGGGATGGCATAGTGGCCCCATCCAATGGAATTGATCCTACTAGAACATATCTTGGGATAGAATAGTTTCCCCATCCAGTCGAATTGATCGTTCTGGGGCCCACGTTGGGATGGCATTGTTGCACCGTCCAGCGAGATTGATTGGATTAAGGCACATATTGGGATGGCATAGTTGCCCTATCCAGCGGAATGGTCTTATTAAGGTTTAATTTGAGGTGGCATAGTTGCCCCATCGAGCGGAATCGATCGTACCATGGCGTATCACGGGATGGCATAGTTGCCCCGGCCGGGGAAATCGATCTCAGTAAGGGCGAAATAGGCCCACTTCATCATGACTTCCCTATCACGTACAACGCGGCGAACATTCCGTTCCTTTGGTCGATGGACGATGATGCTACGGCAGCGCCTTGGTACGGCTGAGAATATGGATAAGGTCAAGGCGGTTGGAAGACGGACATGTAATAATGAGAAGTTCGAGTACATACATCTATTGCGCATGATATGGTCCTCAGTTTACTCGTTTGTTATCATGGGCGGATCGGATGTATGTGCTCAGTGGCTGACTACCGGGAAGATAGAGGAGCCTGACTGGGATAGAGCGTTCATATTTGCGGCAGCAGGCAGCGTTTGCATGGTAACCGATTTTGTTCAACGGAAGCATTCTCCACATCGGCAAATTGCATACATTAGTTACCATTGAACAGTCTGTGGGCATTTGTACTGGAACCTCGACTCCCGGGTCGGAAATGGTGGCTGACGAAGCTCGCTACCGAGATGATCACACTGACTCCATTGTAAACTGCTGAACACAAAAGCAAAATACTCTCCATGTAGATACTTCGCATCTCTCATTGGCTTCAACGCATGGGGGCGATATCCTAACGCTGACTATACGCTGGTCCGGATAATGGAGGATTGGCCTCTTCTGTACGATGTTCTGGGGCTGTCGATGCTAGCCTGCCACAGAAAGTATCGTTTCTTGATACGTCCTCATTCTTCATCGATCATGTAGATGGCCGCACCTTGAAAAACTCGAGTGAGGAATACTGTATCATGCAAATGTTATCAGGGTCATTTCGGTGTTAATGACGATTATCAGTACAGAGTGTCCAAACTCGTCTGTACTGCCGTTGCAAACTCGCTAGACTTCCAGCGGGGTCCATCTGATTGTATCTTGATCTGACAAGGTAGTCTCATTCAAATTCCTCGGAATCCATTTCAAATTTGATGAGCTCGGGCACTAGCCTCCAATTTTATTATCTCGTTGGTGCTGGTTCATCATGAGGCGACTCTAGAGAAGAAATGAATAGAGCCGTGATGCTTTCAGATGACGCAAGTAGCTTTTGAATTAGAAGAGTAGCCTTCCCTCATCTCTGCTCGATTGTTCTTTGTCTGATAGATACCGTGATTCGCTTATCGTGATACCACTCTGCCAGACGTTCAACTATTTGATAATAGCACCTCACATGCGCAATTTCTTCCATGGATGTTGTTCGTTTTTATGGAATATTTATGTATCATGGTATGTAAGCTTGCCGCATGACCAGAGAGAAGCGAACATCATCGCAGAGAGAAAGGGTAGGCTTGAGCTCGGAGACAGTGGTGTGAATGCGGTGGATTTGATCAGCTCGTAAGCGCGGCGACGATAGTCCATATCATATCTACAACCTCCCGCCGGAACCTCGTCGGCTCATAACGGATGGTCGTCGAACGGAGATCAGTCATAGAGAGTCTCTCAGCTGGAATGCTAAGTGGTGACGACTGAAACATGATCTAGGCTGTGACAAGTTTCTGGAAGTTTCCGGATTACTTCGGGTTAAAAGTGAATCTGATAACTCTCGCTGCTACCTTAGAACGAACCCGTGATTACGTATTGTACCCTTCACAGTCTGCGACGCCTCGTCACTCGGGGCTAGCAAACAGAGTTCCAGTGAACGGACGATAAGTCCTGATGGTGCTGTGAGACCAGAGGTCGACACATTAATTGTGGACGGAGCATCGTTCACATTGAAGATCATTCTGATTGAGGGGCTATACTCTCCCAGCGGTAGCAGCAATGAACTGTGCCATTATATTCGGGGAATGACGAATGTCGAGTGGGAGTCCTCGGCAGAATATCCCCCGCACGATGCGATTAGATCTGTCTTCAGCGGGGGTTGAAATCCCCACGAAGGATTCAGACAGGTCTCTGTCGAGCGACTCATCTGGGATAACAGGCGAAGTCTCTTGGTTCTCCGTGCAGTTGGAGAACCAGACAGCCACACTGAGGGCGAGAATCAGTGGCTGCTCCTCCGCGAGCATCCATGGGTAGGGACATGATATCACATCAGACTCAATATCTCTTGGATCGCACTGCAGTCTCGCGTAGTTACGTCAATGTGTTGGGCTCGTAAGAGGAATTTCACTTCGTTGAAGATCTTCATTCTAAGTTCCATGAAAATATGGAACTATGGAAATATTCCCATTGTTCGTTGTATCACGAGTCGTGATTCACGACATGCAAAATAGTTGTGATAATCTTGCGTGATCCAAGGAAGCTGCTGTTCAGTAGGTGTGTGTGAATATGATATCAAACCAGACTCAATATCTCTTGGATCACACTATAGTGTCATGGAGTGCGTGTGAATTTGATATCACACCAGACTCAATAGCTCTCGGATCACACTATAGTGTCATGTAGTTAGTAACTACTAGTTACAGCAATATGTTGAGTTCGTGAGAGGAATTTTCCTTCGTTGAAAATTCTTATTGGAACTCGGAAACCCTTTTCATTGCTCATTATATTACGACATATGAAATGTTCGTGATACTCCTGCGCGATGCTAGAGATCTGCTGCTCAGTAGATATGCATGTGAATATGATACCACACCAGACTCAATATCTCTTGGATCACACTATAGTGTCGTGTAGCTACAGTAACTTGCTGAGTTCGTAAGAAGAATTTTCCTTCGTTGAAAATTCTGATTGGAACTCGGAACCCCTTTTCATTTCTCATTATGTTACGACATATGAAATGTTCGTGATACTCCTGCGCGATGCTAGAGATCTGCTGCTCAGTAGATATGCATGTGAATATGATACCACACCAGACTCAATATCTCTTGGATCACACTATAGTGTCGTGTAGCTACAGTAATTTGCTGAGTTCGTAAGAAGAATTTTCCTTCGTTGAAAATTCTGATTGGATCTCGGAACCCCTTTTCATTTCTCATTATGTTACGACATATGAAATGTTCGTGATACTCCTGCGCGATGCTAGAGATCTGCTGCTCAGTAGATATGCATGTGAATATGATACCACACCAGACTCAATATCTCTTGGATCACACTATAGTGTCGTGTAGCTGCAGAGATGTGTTGAGTTCGTAAGAAGAATTTTCTTTCGTTGAAAATTCTGATTGGAACTCGGAAACCCTTTTCATTGCTCATTATATTACGACATATGAAATGTTCGTGATACTCCTGCGCGATGCTAGAGATCTGCTGCTCAGTAGATATGCATGTGAATATGATACCACACCAGACTCAATATCTCTTGGATCACACTATAGTGCCGTGTAGCTGCAGAGATGTGTTGAGTTCGTAAGAAAAATTTTTCTTCGTTGAAAATTCTGATTGGAACTCGGAAACCCTTTTCATTGCTCATTATATAACGACATATGAAATGTTCGTGATACTCCTGCGCGATGCTAGAGATCTGCTGCTCAGTAGATATGCATGTGAATATGATACCACACCAGACTCAATATCTCTTGGATCTCACTATAGTGTCGTGTAGCTGCAGAGATGTGTTGAGTTCGTAAGAAGAATTTTCTTTCGTTGAAAATTCTGATTGGAACTCGGAAACCCTTTTCAGTTCTCATTATGTTACGACATATGAAATGTTCGTGATACTCCTGCGCGATGCTAGAGATCTGCTGCTCAGTAGATATGCATGTGAATATGATACCACACCAGACTCATATCTCTGGATCACACTATAGTGTCGTGTAGCTGCAGTGATTTGTTGAGTTCGTAAGAAGAATTTTCCTTCGTTGAAAATTTTGATTGGAACTCGGAACCCCTTTTCATTGCTCATTATGTTACGACATATGAAATGTTCGTGATACTCCTGCGCGATGCTAGAGATCTGCTGCTCAGTAGATATGCGTGTGAATATGATACCAGTGGTATCATCAATACACCCCTCCACATATTCTTAGCATATCCGGTTTTTCGACTCGTGCACAGCCACCACAACGAGTATCATCTTGCGGCTCAAGGAGGTATGTACTTATGCTTCACCTGATATGACCTCCAAGTTTCAGGGCCTAACTCTTCGTAGTTAGTGAGAAGTCGAAGACCGGTAAAACGTTTTCTCCACATATTCTTAGCATACACGTGTTAAGATTGCGCCTCAAAATACCAACTTTTACTAGGGGAATATATCTATAACTCCGC